TCCGCATGTGCCTGTCCCCTCCATCACCTTTGAACTCTTATCCTTTTGGATTAAGAATTTAAATTAGGAAAGTCTCCCCTGATTTTATTGGTTTGGTTCAATAGTACATAATTCTACCATAACCATGAACCTTTTTTAAGTAACATTTTAATAGTTGGATTTTTACATTTATTTGTGTAGTGATCTCATGAACTCTATGAATATTGTCTTTGTCATTTTAGTCCCCTGACACACATCTGCCCATGAGTTAGCACTGTAGATGGCACCAGTATGTGTTCGCTGAGTTTGTGAAGAAAAGAGAAAAGGAAGGAGCCAACTCCTGGCTCCAACATTTTCCAGGTTGTAAAATTGTTTGTTCTGTCTGTATACTCATCTGTAAAATGGAATGATAACACCCATTTCCCAGGGTTGTTATGAGAATTAAATGAAATAATCAATGATATGTTATATTATAAACTGCAAAATGAATAGGATTTTAATGCAAGGCAGTACAAATCACAACAGTTAGAAAAGAAGACAGAGAGCTTCTGGTGATTAATTTCCTCCAGAACTGGAATAGGGAATGAATCAACAAAAACATAATAGAGAAGATGACATACAGCTGAGGAATGAGGAGGATTTAATAAGTAGAGATACAACACCTACTTTTTATATCCTATAGAGAGTGTTAGAGTGTAGAGAAGAGAGTTGACTCCTCAGTAGAATGTCACTCTGTAAGGACAGGTGTTTTCATATGTTTTGTTCATACCTTATAACATCTGATATCCATTAGTGCTTGGTAATTACTTGTTGCATGAATAAATAAGTAGATGAATGGATGAATGAATGAAGAATGAATGAATGAATGAAAAAGGGAGTCTCAGAAGCAACTTTATGAGAAAAAGCATGACAAAACAAAGTATCATGCTTATGTGAGAAGCGTGGACTGTGAGACATCAAGCTGCAGAGAAGGAGATAAAGGATCAGTAAATACAAATGCTGCTGACTGAAGAGTCACCTGGTGACTGGCAGACTTCAGGATGACATTTGATGTCTAATTTTCAGAGTCTCTAAGTCTTGAACTAAAGCCCCTGCCCTGATATCTTCAATTGAAACTGAAGGGAAAATACTGCCTGTTAAAACATCGAAATGACGAGCCTTGAGTCAGGCCTCATTCTAATCATCACGAAGCTCTTCTCAGCGCATCACGTGACACACAATGACATGAAGGGGAAAAATGCATTTGTAATTGAAACAAAGATGGAAGCTATGGAAATCACCAGGAGCATTTAGCTCAAACTGCCAATGCATAAAAATCATGCGATTTGCATAGAAATGTACATCACTACAGATATTGGTTAAAATTCAGAACTAGATGAACCATGAATAAAATGCTACTTTAAAATTTATAAAATAAAAATGTAATTACTCTTACCTTTTGGAAAAAGATAAAAATCTTAAGTTTAGTGCTGCTTAATAAGAAAAGGGGAACTGAAAATAAACTAAATATTGAAGATTTTCATTAAGTACATTATGGGTTTTTCCATGTTAAAAAAAAGACTGCCTTATCAGTATCTAACATAATGATCTGTAATCTTTCCAGTGTGAGATTGGTGATAAATACCAAGCACTGATTTTTTAATAACTTGAAGAACAGATACACAACATATTTTCAGGTAGGAGTTACCAGTCCTTCTTAATGGGAAGCTGTTACAGTCCAGCTATTATAATGTAATTCAAGTAAAATCTTTTCTAAGTTGTCATTTTAATGCAAATAACCTAGAAACAGACTTTAGAACTATTTATGCCCAAAGCATATTTTTATCTAAGCCTCAGATAGTAAGAATGTTTGAAATAATTGAGTTCTTGTCTAATTACATAAAGACTAATTTAGAAGCTCATTTATTTGGAGAGTCTCTGGCAGAGAAAATCCATTTAAAATGACATGCAAGAGCAGGTAATTAAAAATTAAAGTTGAAATCAAGATGGAAAAGGCAAGATGGAAGTGCGTTGACTGCTCTGGTTAGTTGGAGGGTCAGTAAAAGGTGAGAGGGGCTCAATAGACTTTTATAGATACAAAGAAAAGGGTAGGATGGTGGTACCCAGCTTCTGGAGGCTCCAGTGCTTTTCAGAATCTTTCTAAGGTATGTCCAATTACAAACTGGACAATAAGGAGAGGTCACGTGGATGTGGAGAGATGAAGGCTGAAGATTCCCAGTCACAGGACACCTTCCCCATGTCCTAGAAGGGCATGTTGGGCCTGCTTTGTGACATATGAAGGGCACATCATCTAGGACCATTAGACACAGATGTGCCTTGAGTATAGGAAGTTCTTTTGCATAGAAATCATTTGGAGCTATTTGAGCAATACACAAACACACACATACACACACTTGAAGTGATCACTGATAGTGCATTTCACAGTTTGAAAATGGCTTTTATATACATAATTTCACTTCATCCTCACATCAAACCAGGAAAGAACAAGTACTTTACTAGTTCCACTTTACAAGTGTAGTAATTGAGGTCCTGAAAAGTTAAAGTGCTAGGATTAGAAGTTGAAACTTTTAATTCCAAATCCCACAAGGCACCATCTTTCTGCATGTTGACACTTTTTTTTTTCACTTTTCACTAAGTAGATTTTTAGTTTTGTTCCTCTTCATTTTCCTTTTACTTGTTTCTCTTCCCCAAGTCTTTCATTTTCCTCTCATCCCTTTCCATCTCCTTGTCCCCTTCCTGTTATTCCTGTCCAGGCCCTGACTGCCACAGCCTCACAGAGTACCACTTGGCCAGCCATACATCCTCAGAGCTGCAGAACTGATGCTGTTCTGAAAGACAGGAGGTGTCTCTGCTTCTACCGCACCAGAAGCATTGCCCTCTGGAAACTAGTTGGAGCAGATGTAAGTTTCGGCAGAGGGAGTTAAATTCTTCTCATACTAGAAAATAAAAACCTCATAGGAGCTTAGATTGACATGGAAAGGTGACAAAACTGTGGTCTTTTCATAAATACTTATTTCCTCATCCTGAGCCCCAGAAAATAAAACTCTCTCTGCCCTTGCCCCAGCAAGATACTCAGGCTGTGTATGGGAGGGCCACTTATCACTTATAACACTTTGCTAAGTCTAGATTATTCTTCTTGAGATAATATACATAGCAACTGAGCCATAAATCTCTTTCTTTCTCAAGGGCCATGTAAGCTAATTAATGTGAACTATGACTATTTATGGCATTTTTGTTCTCAATGTGTGGTCTCTAACCAGAAGCATAAGAATCACTGTTCTCAGGTGCTTCTGAAATTCTTAGGCCCCAATCCCAACCTAATAGCTTGTTTTTTCATAGTTTTTTAATTGTTTTTATTAGTTTATAATAGTTGTACAGGGAGTTTCATTGTGATATTTCCATATAATATACTCCGGTTTGCAAACCTAATAGATTTGAAACTTTGAGGAGCGGGGCCCAGCAGTCCGTGTTGACAGGCCTTCTAAATCATTCTGATAGTAGCTGAAATTTGAGAACCCCTGGCCTCAGTACAAGTCAGTGAAAATGGCCTTGGAATAGGAGCTAGGATACATGGCACTCAGTCCTGGTTCAGCCTCTCACTGACATATGAGTTCAAGTAAATTGTGTCACCTCCCCAGGCCACATTTCCTACCCATCAAATGAAGAAGACTGCAAGGGTGAGTGCCAGGCACTTTCCTTTTTCGTACATTCTATGAGCCTTCATGAAGTATGCTTTGAGGTATTAGCAGAGCACTGCTCCAGCTCAGCATTCTCAGTGAGTTGTTCTTATTTCATGTAAACTTTAGCTTTCTTAAAGTCTCGAAGTTGATTCTCCAGGAATTTCTACTTACACTACAGTTGAACTTGTAAGGTGGTCCCTCTGCTATCACCTGTATCATGGTTCACGTATCAGTTAATCTGAGTCAGAACAGGTAGTTCTTGAAGGAAACAAGATTCAGAATGAGGGGGTCAGACTGTCCTCAGTGGAGCAAGTTAACAAAGACAAACATTATCCAATTTCCAGTTTCACTGAAGGTTAGCCACAGCTGTGTAGGTTTCAAATTGTGATGTAGATTTTTGTTGTTCATGTTATTGTTTGGAAGGATTGCCAGTTATAAGGCTCTTACTGCACAAATAAAATGTTTATCTGGAAAATTTCTACATAGAAAAAGAAATCAAACTCCAAACAAAGTTAATTTACCAAGTCATTGTCATTCTGGGTCATTTAGATTGATACTTCATTAGAAACACTCAGAAGGAAGTCTATCCTCAGAAGGATGAGACTATCCTTTCATTCTCTTTAGTAGAAATAGCCACATCAACTTACTCACCTCATATTAACACCTCCCTACCACACGTACCAATAACCAAGTTAAAAAGCTCCTTTCCTTGTGGAGTTTACTGTCCTGCAGGAGTGGTACACATTGTCTAAGTGTTATGAGTGCCACAAGGAAGTACTATAAAAACAAATATAGAGAACCGCACCTAATGCTGGGACCTTGAATTAACAGATGGAGGCAATAACCTCAGACAAGACAGTGCATTTTTTTTAACCCTAATATATCTGCAGGATGTAACACACACCATCTACAACTATGGTTCCCTCCATTCAGCAGGGGAAGACAGCACCCGTCTCAGAGAAGTAGTCCCCTGCTTTTTCCCAGCTCCCCAAGCTCTTCCTCTAGAGTCACTATAGTAAAGGGAATAATTGTGAATACATCGGGTTTGGAGGTGAGGGTCAACTTTGTAACTTGCAGCATGATTTAACTGCTTCATTCTACCTATTATTTTTAACTATTAACAAGGTTGTTCTCTGCTCTAATACCCTGTGACATGGGTCTTCTTAATAGATCTCATCACACACAAATTACTAAATTCTTGATAGCTGCAAGACTACCATAGATTGTAGGACCAGATTTCCTACCCATCACCTGTTCTGTGTGCATCTTCCCCACCATCCCCCAACACAACGTTCAGAAAAAAAAAAAAGCCACCAGCTGCAAAACTAGGTACACACTTACTGTTGTTTTCAGTAATACAACATCTGCTTCTTGCAAGGAACATGGGACACAGTTTGCCCATACGTGCCAAGCCGGTCTCCAGTAAAACACCAAGGAAAGGATTCCAAATGAGAAGATGGATCCAGCAAGGCAGAGGGCTTTCCGGCAGGCTTGACTCCGATAGCCAAATATTTCCTGAAACAGAATCAAAATGACTCCAAATATCAGTTAATAAACAATAAATGAACAAATACTAATTTTAGTGATGAAATGATAAGGGTGCAGAGAAGACAAGGTGGGAGGGATGAAAAGAATGGAGCAGGAGTCCTGGCAAAGAAATTTCAGACAAGATCTCTGACCTCTAATAAGTAGCAATCTAGCCGGGAAGATCGGTGTCTACAATTAGAGCACTCAGGTACGGGCCTGGTATTATGCCTGGTATTCAGATATGTAGTCTTGGTTAAGTCTCCTGATCATCCTATCCTTGTATTATTCCTGAAATAAAATATCCCCCTTACTTTATAATAGGACTGAGGCTATGACAGCTGATGGACTGACTTATCCAAGGTCACACTTAGAAGTTTTGCTCCTAAGATTCAAACCCAAGTCTTTCAGCTGCTCAGTCTTGACTTTGATTCACAACTATACATGACCACAAGTCATGTGTCAAGAAGACTAGCCAATACAGTGACCAAATTATTCCCATGGCTAGGAAGAGCAACCTTGTGGGCAGGAGGGACTAAAACCAGGTTTTGAGTTTGAAGTAAGATGTCATGAGAGAATTTGATCACAAGAGAATTAACAGTCAACTGCTTTTGGGAGTTTGGGGTAAAGCTATGTGTTCCTATGTTTCCCCGTTTTTTGGTAACAGAATTTTACATCAAGAAGGAAAACCCAGAGAGACTATTTGATTTACTTTATCTTGTGCTATTGCATATAATTGCCATGATAGGATATTATTAGATTGTAGAAAATATACATTTAAACAAGATAAAGAGTCTCACCTCTAATCCATGTATAATGTATATAAATTTCTTCCTTCTAATAAAAGTCCAGGACAAAACAGAAAACCAGCCCTGAGTTCTATGGCCTCAGTCCTACAACTACATGCCACAAAGTCAAGGTGTACTTTATACCGGTTATAATGGCTATACTTAAAGGGAGTAGAATGTCCTAATTAAAAGTGTATTCTCTGGACCAGGATACGTTGGGTTTTGAGACTAAAGCTGCCATTTACTGGGTATGTTACCTTGCAGGGTAGCTATGAGGTTTAAATGACTGAATATGTGCAAGTGCTACACAAGCATTTATTCCTGCCACTGCTCTTGCTGTTGCTGTTACTATAACTTGATCCCATTTCCCTAATATAGACCTGAAGTTCTAGCCCCTAGTTTACTGACAGTTTAATCCAAGAATTCCTAGAGTCAACAGTTCTGCTCTTGCTAGGACTGCATAGTAGGATAGCAAGGGAGATGAACATCTGCTATTATACCCGATTAAGACTACATTATCAGAAAAGTTTCTATGATCCTTGGCTGAAAGCTGCTCTCGTATGTAATTATAAGATTCCTTCCTATTATTGACAACACATATAGGTGATGAATGGCATCCTTGGTGTTGTCCACGCTTGGTATACTTTCATAAAATGCACATGTTAACTCAGAACTACAAGCTCTTGACTTATTCTGCAGTGTGTAGTGTCTGTCCTGACAAGAATAGTCTTCTGCCCCAAGCTCAAACTATTCCAGGTGCTGAGATTGTAATACAGCAGTGCTCTGTTAATCACACACTGAGCAGGTCTCAATCCTAATTTCCCTGCCATCCACCATTTTTTCCCATGTACTGTGCAATGTTTCTACACTTTGACATAGATCACCTATTCCCCAATCTCTTCATTTTATCACCTTTTACAAATATGTACTTAAAAGTTTTCTATATTACCTGTCAGTTGAACCCCCATATAATCTGCCTGAGTTACTCTGCTCTATGGCACAAAACAGTTAGCATGCATTCTTTATTGGGTTGTGCAATGAGAGCTCTCTATAATCTCCAAACTATCTTCATGTTCTTTAACAAAATTAAGTAGGTTGGAATTATTATCTTCATTCTCCAGTTAAGAAAAGTTCAAAGTTATTATATATGATAACAGTTATTAGTAACTTATTTATAACAATGCTAACAGCTAACATTTATTGGACACTTAAAAGTTCATTTCTAAGCACTTTACTTGTATTTTCCCTTTTAGTTGAAAAAAATCAAGTTTCCCAAGGCAGAAAGCTCCAGTCAAGACTTTTGAGCACATGGAAGACAATGTGAGCTAGCAATCTCTGCTCTGAGGCTCTTCCTTATTCTGTATTTGATTTCATTTTAATTTAACAAATGCTTTTTACATGTTGGCCAAATAGAAGATAAATGAGACAGTGTCTTTAGTCTCAAGGGACTCATTAGTTTAGTTGGGAAGAGAGATACAAACAGATAAGATTAAACAAAAGAAGGAAAGGATTGTATGGAGAGGTAACTAGAAAAATTGTCATCAGAATGAGGTACTATTAATATTTATGGAATAACAGGAGTCAACTAGAGTGTCCCAGAGAAGCCAAGCAAAGTCCTCCCTGTAGACCACAGTATCACTCCAAAAGCTTCCCTGTTCAAAAGCTGGTGGACACTACAACTCCACGGAGTGGTTCATGACCCATGACATGTTGCTGAATTTTCTGTAGAAAGAATAAAAAATGTTCACAAGGAGGGTCCAATTATTGCTTATTGAACTGCATTAAACTGTTCTGAGTTGAAGGGAATTGCATCGCAGGTACTATTAATAGATATTGGGTTTAAAATTGCAAAAATTAGCATTATTGCTGCATGATTATCATCATGCAGCAATTTACTTTCTATTGATGGAGTGCCTTCCATATCTCTGAATAGGCTTGAGGGATCTATCCCTGCTGACCTGCCCTTTACCCACTCTCACCTCCTACAAGAAAGGGTCGATGGACCCAAAAACATCATTAAGAAAATGTCAAAAGAATATTACATAAATAATAACACTCACGGTGGACTATGTGCATCGTGTCCCTTTATCCTTCTACCCACACATTTTTCTCCTTCCTCTGTCTCTATGCATCCAGATCCTGTGAATATCTAAAGGCTGAAGTTTTGGCTCCCAGACATTCCAGTCTTCCCCTCTGTAATGTCCCTGTGCTTAAGAATCCATACACTCCAAGATGCCCCACCACTGACGATGGATCAAGAAAATGTGGTATCTACACACAATGGAATTCTATGCAGCCATGAAGAAGAACAAAATGTTATCATTCGCTGGTAAATGGATGGAATTGGAGAACATCATTCTGAGTGAGGTTAGCCTGGCCCAAAAGACCAAAAATCGTATGTTCTCCCTCATATGTGGACATTAGATCAAGGGCAAACACAACAATGGGATTGGACTTTGAGCACATGATAAAAGCGAGAGCACACAAGGGAGGTGTGAGGATAGGTAAGACACCTAAAAAATTAGCTCGCATTTGTTGCCCTTAACGCAGAGAAACTAAAGCAGATACCTTAAAAGCAACTGAGGCCAATAGGAAAAGGGGACCAGGAACTAGAGAAAAGTTTAGATCAAAAAGAATTAACCTAGAAGGTAACACACACGCACAGGAAATCAATGTGAGTCAATGCCCTGTATAGCTATCCTTATCTCAACCAGCAAAAACACTGTTCCTTCCTATCATTGCTTATACTCTCTCTACAACAAAATTAGAGATAAGGGCAAATAGTTTCTGCTGGGTATCGAGGGGGTGGGGGGGAGAGGAAGGGGGCGGAGTGGGTGGTAAGGGAGGGGGTGGGGGCAGGGGGAAGAAATGACCCAAGCCTTGTATGCACATATAAATAATAAAAGAAAATAAATAAATAAATAAATATTTCACTCCACATACACACAAAAAAAAAGAATCCATGCACTTTCTCGGCCAATAGAAGTCAATGGAGGGTGGGAATCTACATACCCTCTGCTCAGAATACATAGAGGCACATACACATAATCTGCTCCATAGATATTCAGAAGAGCTCCTGGGCCCCTGCTCTAGAGGGTTCATGGGTTCTAATCCAGGATTATCATTCAGAGTTTTCCCTCAGTGCCCAACACAAGTAAGCACTCGGTGAATGCAGAAATGTGAAGACAGAGAAGCATAGAAATGCAGATATGGGTGATGACTGGAGCAAGACAGTGGCTGTCTCCAAAGAAGCTTCCTATGGTGTCATCATGTGGGAGCCCACAATATTCTAAGAGGGGCTGTCAATCTTCTAGACCCAGAACCTGCCTACAGAACCATCTCTCAGAGGGAAGACACAAGATCAGCAGATCTCAGTAACTGGGGTGCACTGAAAAAGGGAAATGAACCCAATTGTCACACCAACCAAATAAATAATGTAGTTTGGCCTTATGGGCACATTCTCTGGTATTGTCTCTACCAGAGTCATTATTGTCCTGCTAATGGAGTCATAAGCAAACAGAGTGCTCAAATGGGCTCTGGAATTTTCTTTGACCATCTCTCACTCTGACTGATAGGTGCCTTCTTTAAACACATTAAATCGTTCAATCTGGCATGGGAGCTATTTAGTCTCCTTAAGGCAATTTTGCATTTCTCTACAGGATTCATTAAACATTTGAAAGTTTCTATAAAAATTCATTTTTTACCTCCCTGAAGATAATCTCTTTACCCTTAGTTCAAATGTTGGATATGAAAAGAATGCTTCATTGTAATTTCCAAGCATTATAGCAAAGTGTGTTAAATTAATGCAATTTACCTTACTGCTTACCTCCACTCCAACACTTATTAAAATTTCTACTTTAGTAGTTTCTTATTTGTCACTATTTAGTAAAAAGAGAATTTCCTGGGTTCTAAGTTAATTCAATGTTGAGATTCAGGAGAGAAATTCTCAGCCTGGATGGCCTAATCCAGGCATCTGGAGACTCGAAAAGAATGGCCTGGTAAGTAGCTTTTCATGCTTTAAATTGGTCCTCCAGTTATTTTCACATAAGAATGACGATTTCTGCTTTTCTTTCAAATTAATCAGAAATTGTGAAAGTACTGTCCCCACCTTCTTATAGTGTAAGAATCTGCTGGAGAGCACCAAAAACATCTACAAAAAAAAAAAAAACCAGGAAAAACCCCAAACTCTATCCAGTGAGAGAG